GTTCATCCAGCTCTACACCTCGTTATCTCAGATTCTCCAGCATCTACTAACTGTGAAGCCGGCTGGCAACATAACTGGTCATTCCATCCAGGGTGAACAACTTTTTGGGGTGGGGGGGGGGTTCTCCAAAAATTAAGTGAAATTTAGCCTTTGGCCACGAGGTCATTAGAGTAAGTAAGTTGAGCTCTTTTAAAAAAGTAATTTTGACCAATTTAAAGTTGGATTACTTAGATGGCGAATTGGCAGATTTACAATCTATCAGTATCAATTCATTTTACTAAGTTACTAAAACAGAGAACAACTTTTTCAAATTTATTATTTCAAATTAGCACTAATTTGGATTCAAATTTCTAATAAATATTACACTTGGTTTCTGACATTACACAGTCATGGGTGCAAGTTCCAATCCTGGTCATACAATTTTGACTAATATTCCAATGCTGTGCTGAGGGAATGGCACTTACAGTTTTACCACTCAAACAGTGCAACATTAAAGATTCAATGCTACTGCTGAAATAAAGTCTTCTAGTATCCTGACCAACCAGCTTTCTATAACCAAAATCATATTAAATAATCAACCATAGGCAAAATACTGCACATGATGGAAATCTGAGAGAGACAGAATGCTGGAGAAACTCAGCAGTTCTGGCAGCATCTGTGGTGGGAGAAATAACTAACATTTGGTCTGGTATAACTCTTCTTCGGAATGGAGTGTCATACCGGATTGAAAATTTCAATTGTTTCTATCTCCACAGGTGCTGCCAGACATGCTGAGTTTGTGCAGCATTCTCTATGTTTGTTTTAAGTAATCAACTCCTTTTCAATGCTATTACCATGTTAAAATGATTATTCTTAACCTGCATGGCAACATTTCAAGTAGTTATTGTGTATGAAGAATGTTAAATTGCTTAAACATTATTCAGTACTACATAGACAACCTTCGTGAAAGCTAGATTAATGCTGTGCAAATCCCTGGTATGTTATTACTTGCACAGGTTGCAATAGGGTAGTAATTCAATACATTGAGCAGGCCAATCATTTGAATCCCATCCTCACCAATAGAACAATCTGGTTTATACTGGTGTAGTTTGAGGGAAAAAGTTAGTTTCTGTGCACGTCAGCAGCTACAATATGATTGATCCAGTTCTCGCTCCAAGAAGAATGCTGGTCATACACAAAGAGCATTTAGCTATTACCTGAAGTGGTTTCATTAATTAGCCGTAAACAGTTGAGTCCTGCAATCTGTGCAGAATCCATTACAGACCTCCTCTCAGCATCTGTGTAGAAACATGGAACCTATAAACAGTACACAAGATGAAAAAAAAGTACCTTTCTGCAGAAAAGTTAAAAAGGTTCAATTTCCAAAACAAACACTGTACTGTATAGAATTAATAATAATTTTGCTACTTACTGATATCACACAATCCAAGACTGGTTTCTTGAGAGCAGTTTCAGCTGTTTCCTTCAGTTTTGTCAATAACATTCCTGTCACTTGCTCCACACTAAAACATCTTTCCTCTTCCATGTATGAAACCTTTTAAAACAAAAAAGTATGCCAGATTTTTGATAAAACTCAAGTTATCAAAAATTACTTTACTTTAAAAATACATCTTGACTGAAAATATTTGTCGTTTATAGTTAACAAGAAAAGGCTAGCACCTAAATATTCTTTCATACATTGTAATGGCACTTTATAGCTACGTGAACAGCTTTCCAAACAATCATTAGATAAGAAAATCTGCTGATCCTACCTGGTCTGGCCTACGCATGACTCCAGACTTAAAACAACGTGGCTGACTCTCAACTGCTGTTTGAAATGGCCTAACAAGCCACTCAGTTCAGATTATGTAGGGATGGGGAAGAAATTAAAATAATTTCACACCTCATTAAGTTACAGATATGCCTAGAGAAAACTGCTTGACTAAACTGAGGCATTTAACAATGGGCTAGTGAATGCTTTCTAATGTGCTCAATGCACTGCATTCACATGTAGATGAGGCATTTTGAATAAGCTTTTACAAACTGTTCCTGAAAGAGCTTAACCTTCACTGGAAAAGCAATTATAGTTGTCTTAAATTATGGACAGATGTTACTTTGATTGCAGGTATTTAACTTCTTTTTTGAAAAATAGCAAGGATCTGACCTAAATAGACTAGGTAAGCAAGCAATTGAGAAGAGCTTGCTTGTATTCTATTTTGGGCATTATCATGGCTACCTCCATATTGGTGGAACCTGACAACAGACAAAATAGAAACAGAAAGAACTGTAGATGCTGTAAATCAAGAACAAAAACAGAAGCTGCTGGAAAAGTTCAGTAGGTCTAGCAATACCTGTGAAGGGGAAAAAAAAAAAAAAATCAGAGTTAACGTTTCAGGTCCAGTAGCCCTTCCTCAGAACTAACAGACTAGATAGAATTTGGACTCATCAACTTCCTTATTTCCATCCTATTGGCAAAACTAAGTGAAGTCTATAGCACAAACCTTAACACCTGTGGTACCACTTGACATCTGGACCAGTTCATATCCAAGCTTGGATTGTTCAGCTTTTACAAATGGATCTGAGAAAGCTCTGCCATGGAGCCTTTTAAATCCTTGTAGAGTGTTTTTCACATTGGACACTATCTACAAAAAGAGAAGTTAAAATTTAATTCTCAACAGTTGAAACAATTATTTCTATTTTCAACATTCTCAAATTAATTTGCAACAACTTCATAATTCAATACCCAAGATGCAACTTGTATTTGCAGTCTAATTTAACCATAAATTATATTCAATATTTAGTAAAGCATCACATTTCTGATCCTAGTTGGGTTAACTTATAAACAGTTATACCACCAGCATCTAGCCAATCACGTGGAAGATTCGCCCCGCATGCCCCCACACACAAAGCAGGATAACTCCAACAAAAACAGAAATTGCTGGAAAAAAACAACTCAGCAGGTCTGGTGGCATCTGTGCACAGAAATCAGAGTTAACGTTTCAGTTTCAATGACCCTTCTTCAGAACTGATGGTAGTTACGAAAGAGTTGTTTTTGATGCACTAGATAGGTTTTTTTTGAAGGGGTGGACGGGTTGTTAAAGAGGGATTAAGGAATAAACAGTAGGTAGAGATGAAGTCCAAAGAAAGCGAAGAGCAGTTGGACAGGAAGGAGTGGATAACGGTCCGTCTAAGAGAATGAATAGTGGCTAACTGGGACTATTAGTGGCTAACAACGGGTTAACAGACCATGTGAAAACAAGGCCTGGGTTAAGGACACAGGAGTAGGTGCCTCAAGCCCTAAAATTATTGAACTCGAGAGTCCTGAAGGCTGTGGAGTTCCCAAGTGGAAAATGAGGTGTTCTTTCAGCTTTCACGGAGCTTCGCTGGAGCACTGCCACAAGCCTGAGACAGAGATGCTGGCCAGGGAACAATGTGTGTGTTGAGATGGCTTGCTGATTACCATCCAATTAGCATACGCTCCATCGTCAGCAAAATGACGGAAGAGGTCATCAATAGTGCAATCAAGCAGCACACGTTTCAGCAATAATCTGCTCACTGATGCTCAAATTTGGGTTCTGCTAGGACCACTCAGCTGCTGACCTCACTACAGCCTTAGTTCAAACACGAACAAAAGAACTGAATTCCAGAAGTAAAACGAGAGTGCGTGCATCTTTCCTTGACATCAAGGAAACACTCCCAACTAAAGCACCAAGGAGTCTTGCCAAAACTGCAGTTAATGGTAATCAGGAGGTTAAATTCTCCACTAGTTGAAGTCATATCTCAAAAGGAAACTTTTTTTTTTAAAAAAAAAGGATTCAGCTGTCTCTGCAGGGGTTCTTGAGGGTACTCTACTAAATCTTCAGCTGCTTTGTCAATGATAGTCCCTTAAAGGTCAGAAGTGGGGATGTTCATTGATGATCAGCATTCAGCACAATTTTAGAGTACTTAGATACTGAAGCAGTTTCTAAATGCAAGACTTGGACAACATTCAGGCTTGGGCTGACAAATGACAAGTAACATACATCCAAGTGCCAGCATCAACATCCTAAAACTGCCCAGAAACGCAAAATACCATAGGTATAGAATCTTGCATCCAGGAAAAGGATTAGCTGTTACTTGGAAAGTCACAAATTAATCATGGACACATTGTCAGAATTGTTTTGTTAAGGAGGTCAGTCATACCAGTTCAATTCATACCAGAGGATAGTGCAACGGATGTCGTTTACATGGATCTTAGTAAAACATTTGACAATATCCTACTCGGAAGCCAGGTCAGTAAAGTAAAACCCTTAGGAAGCACAGAATGTGATGATTTGGATCTAAAATTGGCTGAGTGACAGAAAATAAATGGTAGTAGTCAATACACATTTTTGCAAAGGAAAAGCAGTTTCAATGGTATTCCACAGTGTTGGCTGTGTGGTTTGCTGCATAACAATGATTCGAACTTCAATGCCAGAGGCATAACTTGGAAATTTGCAGAAATTTGCCAGATAGCTGTTAGTGACAATGATATCATCTACAGTCAGTATCCACCAATGGTTCAGGTGAATGGGATGGATGAAAAAACAGCAAGTGGAATTCAATTCGTACAAGAGAGGTAATACCTTTGGGAATGTCAAACAAAGCAAGGAAACACAAGAAACAGCAGGCTGTTGAGATAGATTGAGAAAGTGAGAGGCCTTTGAGTGCATGCCCATAGGCCCCTAGCACTGATAGGATTGATAGATCGATAAATAAAAAGGTGGCAAAGGAGGCATACATGGTGCTTTCCTCATTGGGTAAGGTACTGAGTAGAAATGCAGGGGTGTAATGCAAGAAATATATAGGACACCATTTAAGCCATTGCTGAATTGGTGTATACACTTCTGGTGACACGAGAACATAATTGCTCTCGAGACAGTACAGGGGAGAATTAAAAATGTTACTGGGACTTGAAAATTGCAGCTGAAGATAGACTGGATGGGAGGAAAATAGCCTCTTTTCCTTGGACTAGGGCTAAGGGATGATTGAGGTTTACAAAATAATGAGGGGCATGGATAGAGTAGACAGAGAAGATCAGTTTCCCCTAGTGGAGACATCAATTACCAGGTGTCATAGCTTTCAGGTAGAGGGATTAGAGGGCACACGAGGAAAGACTTTTTAAAATCTAGTTGGTAGTGGGTATTTGAAATTCACTACCTAGTTTGGTGGTTGAAGTGGAATCCTTCATCTCATTTAAAAAGAAACCTGGATGCAGACCTGAAGCACTAACCAGTGAAGCTGCAGACCAAGTACTGGTAAATGGGATTAGAATGGGTGGCTAGTTCATGCAGAAAGCAAAGACATGATGAGCTAAATGACTTCTTTGTGCTACAACTTCTCAATGGTTCTAATGGCAGAATAGAGGATAGGAATTCTGCACTTTCTTTTCTCCCCACAATCTGTACACCATCTGCAAGGCACACATCAGGAATGTGATGGAATACTCTTCACTCGTCTGGAGCCATGCAGGTCCAATGATACAAAAGTTTGGCATTATCCAGGATAAAACAACCTGCTTGAATAGCATCCATCCACCACCTTCAACCTCTACCACTCAGAGCAAACGGAGATTCAGAATTTCAGGGAAACTCCTGAAAATTCCTTTCTCCATTGTATACATCATCTAGATTTGGAAGTATAATGTTATTCCTTCACCAGGGTCAAAATTCAGAACCCCCTTAACAGCACTGGGGTGTCCCTGCACTTGTTCGTGAGGCAGTTCACACCATATTCTCCAGAGCAATCAAGGATGGGCTATAGCAATATCCACATTCCATTTTATGCAAGATAAAATGCAATACACTTGTAGGGTAAAACATGCAGATGCAATAGTTATAGATTCAACTCCAAGACAGCAACAGTGCTAGAAGCCAGCATCTATTAATACAGACACATGGAGGTAGACAGCTGACAAGAGAGATTCTCTGACTAATTTATCTCACAATTATAAATTCCCATCCCCGATGCAGCACACCACAAATTTCTATATATGACTCATCAGCATAACAAATAATACTCATTTAGCTTTAAATGAGTGCATCAACATTTTCATAAATACCTGATTATCACTGACTTATCAAAATGTTTGTATCTTGCAATAACAGTAATTCTGAATTGTAAGACAATATTTTGACAAAAATGCTAGAGTCAGGCTTCAAACTAGCATAATTTATCACTAGTCATAGCAATTTTGTGAATGAGACGTTTGATTTTTGAAAGAAGGGAAGAAGTCAAAGTAACGATAATAAAGTTAATACTGTTAAAAAATTCAATTCAATAATAGTCTTATTTAAAAATCTGTATTTAAATGGTTGACAGTCAGTTATCAATTAGAAAGTGCATAAAGGTGGATATTTACTGATTGATAGCATGGGACTTCAACTACATTAGAATTTGTAAAGAGAGCATCTGAATCTAGATGTGAATGATCTTTTGCATATAACCTCCTCTGACTTTTCTTTACATAAAAGTAATATAGGGGAGGCCCAGGAGAACAACCTCAATGAAGTTGCAGGTCTTGGGGGCTTGCAGTAAAAGGTGTTGCATTGTCACAAGAGATTTTACTATTCAAAGATTGGATGAATCAAATTGGTAAAGGTTGACTGGAGGAGGAGTATGAATTAATTCAGGTCAGTTTCTTCAACCAACCAGGAACAAGCTATTCTAGATCTGGTAATGTGTGATGAGACAATTAATTGACAGTCTCATAGTAAAAGATCCGAAGGTAAGATTCCACATAATATGACAGAGTTCCATATTCAGAGGGCAAGAAATGCACCATCCATGGGTAACTAGTAAAGTGGAGGATGGCACCAAATTGAAAGAAAAAAATACTGTAAGGAGTTGTGGCAATCCAAAAGATTGGGAAAATTTTACTGATCAAAGGATGTCTAAATTATAAAGGAAGTTAGGAATTTGTGTACTAAGCAAAACAAAAAGTTAATACCAACAGTAAATAAGTTCTACAACTATATAAAAAAGGTAAGAGAGTAACAAAGATAGTTTAGATTTATTAAGAGGGACAGATTGGGGAATTAATGGGAAACAAGGAAATGACAAACTTTGAACAGGTATTTTGTATTTGTCTTCACAGCAGAAGGCGCAAAGCATCCCAAGAAATATTAGAAAATCAAGTAGCAAAAGAGAAGAACTTAAAACGATCACAGAGAAAAAGCACCGAGAAAACTAAAGAAACCAAGGGGTAAATAGGTTCTCTGAACTTAATAGCCTACCTCCCACGGTGTCAAATCAAGTCCTGTTGCATTTATAGATGGACAGATTACTTTCCAAACGTTCCTAAATTGTGAAGATGCCTCAGCAGATTAGAAAACTGACATGTTAACACCAGTTGAACAGTTGAGAGATCTGGTGCCCTTGTCCATGAATCAGTGTTAGTATACAACCACCAAATAGAAGGCCAATGGAATGTTGCCACTGATTGCAAGGAGAATGGAGTATAAAAGGAAAGAGTTCTTTCCACAACTAAAAAGGGCTATAATGAAAGGTAACCTTATTCAAAAATGCAAGGTTCTGAGGGTGCACGAGAGGACAGGTGCATAGGGGTATTTTCTCGAAGACACTTTCTTTAATGGGGGATTCCGAAAAAAAGCCTCCCATACAAGTTGAAAAGAATTTCTTCTTTCACCAGGGTTATTATTTTTAGCAATTTTGTTTCAGTGCATTGGCAGTTGGAGGCCGAGTTATTTAATACATTCAAAGCTGAACTAGATAGACTTTATATCTGTAAGGGAACTGAGGCCATGATTAGATCAGTCATGATATTAAGAGGCAGCTCTGGCTCAATAGACCTAATGGCCTACTCCTGTTCCTTTTTTGTTTAATCTTATGGAGATAAATCTTATGAAGATAAATCTTATGAAGTACTGTTACTTTTCTTCTGATCTCAATGGGACAGTTCAGTTGTTTTTAAATCATTTGCAAAAGCTGAGAACATAGAATGGCAGTGTACAGTTAAGTTACTGCAGTTATTGTTGTAGCTGTTTAGCCAAATGGTAAACTAGGAAAAATGAGTTGCAATTCAAATGTACAAAGTAACATTTTAAGAGTACTTTTCTGCTCACAGTTATTGGATGCAGCAGATTCAGATGTGGCAAGCTAGTTTGTTTGGTCTGGCAACAAGTATCCTCCTAGCACAAGGTCTACATTTATGGTAAAATGTACCTGGTTCAAATCAAGCAGAAATCAGAACCAGTGACTTCCAAGACAAAAATGGAGTACGGTTTTTGTAAACAGCACATTCTACCAGATACGAAATCACAAGACCACACTACTTCTTAGGATTAGCAGATGCAGCTCTTAGAAGAGTCATGAAACATTATTTGTGGAAGTAATACAGATTCAGGAAATTTTGTTGCCCTTCTGTATCTTACAATTCTCATTCTAATTGACCGGTATACCAATGATAGCAGCTAGATTACAATTACATTACAATAATATGATTATTGCACCTTCTAGTATTTTCCAGCTCTTGGTAAAGGATACACTGAGCTCTTCCTACCTGAGTTTTGGCAGCAGCTCCAAACGAACGATTTCGGGGTCCCAAGGACACACAAGACCTGAAATTTTAAAGAGTGCATAATGTAACTGTTTGGAAGCTAACTTGCACTTTATTTGTACAGGAGATAAAACTAGCTGTAGGAGCAGGAGCCACAATAATTCACTTCCTCAATGATGGGAGGAGTGGAACACATTAGTGCAAAAAAGACATGCCAGAAACACCTGCAACAATTTTCAGCCTGGCTTCTTAATTTATCTTTGCCTTCTCAAGATGTCTGGGGCGAAATATCAGTCTTCAGTTAATTCAATTCACTCCACTAGATATCAAATAATTGAAGGTTATAATACAATATAATACAACAAAGGCTATGAATCCTGGCTGCATCCCATCAGTATTAATATAAGAAATAGGCCAACTGGCTCGAGCCTTCTCTTCCATTTTTTGAACTATAGAAATGATACAGCACAGAAGGGGGCCATTTAGCTCATCTTGTCCATACTGACTCAAAGACACCCAGATGCTCTTTCTAATCCCATCTCCCTGTTCACAGTCCAGGTACATCTTGAAAGAGTTTAGGGTCTCTTGCCCGAGTTCGTGCTGGAGGAACAAATTCGAAACATCCACTCCCCTCTGTATAAACAGGTTTTTCCCTCACATCCCTTCTAATTCTTCTGCCACTTAGCTTGAACCTATGACCCTGGTTTGTGAACTCTCTGCCAAAAGAAATAGGTTCTTCCTGCTTATTTCTACCCCTCAATTTTGTATACCTGAATCATGCTTCCCTCAGCCTCCTTCGTTCAAGGTAAGCAATCCCAAACTCCCCAAGCTCTTCTCGTAGCTAAGATTTTGCAGCCCTGGAAACAGTCCAGTAAATCTCCCCTACACTCCAGAGCAATTGTGTCCTTCCTGCCACACTGACATTTCATTTTGACATTGAGACTCTGTGCAATGTAGATTGATGGACAAGTTATGGCTATTCTAAATGATGGGTAGCAAGCTACTGTCAATCCTTGAGGACCATGCTGTTGAGTCTCAAGAGGAGCCTCTCAATCACAGTTAGCATATAGCAAGTAATTAGGAAGACAAGTGCAAGTTTGGCCTTAATTTTAGAGGTGATGGAATATAAACTACTGAAGTCCTCTGTGCAGTTGTATAGGGCAATGGCAAGGCAAGATCTCTAGTACCTGTACAGTTTCTATTTCCAAAGATGTAGGTGATGTACAGGAATTCAAGTGTTAATATAAACCTAGCTAAAAATTTTAGCTAATATACACATTTAAAGTATAATTTTGTGAATCTCAGTTCAGCAAGTTATGGTTAACGGTTCGTTTGCAGTTCTGTGCATAACGTGCTTTCAATAATGAGTTCCTAGGAATGAGCTGACCTGAAGTTACTGATATTCCCTGCCAATTCCATTAGTGCACAGTACTGAGTTGCAGATGTCTATTCCTAACCAACCAAAAATCTAAAATTTCTGCTCTATATTCTCATACACAATTGCAAATAATACTGTTAGCTAGTCCTGCTATGGTTTTCTTCAGCTGGATTCCAAGTATTAAGCAGACAGCTGTACAGTTTGGAAAGATTAACAAGAGAAAGCTTCTTTATATAAAATAAACACTCAAAAGATAAACTATTGACATTCACATAAATTAGTTGCAAAACCTACAAGGCATTCTTTACTACTTAGTACATGTCTGTCTCTTTCTTTGAGGTAGTACATTCTGGGCTTGAAAATGTTGAAGCATAATTTGAGTTACTGGTGAAGATAAAACTTTTCAGTAAATTTAACACCACTTTACTGCAGTGATATCATCTTCCCAGAATTACGGCCAAAACAAAATAAGCGAAGAACAAATTTTGAACTTGTCTCTACCATAATATCAATTGGCTCACAATACTTGGATTTAAACTGCAAATGAGTTACCGAATTTTTTTTGCAAATAGACAATATTCAGTAAACAGAATGGGAGGAAAAAAAGCATGTTCGTGTTTCATTCCAAATGAAGACAGATACTTTATTAAACTAAAGCTAAAACATTTTCTAATAAAAACTCCAAACTGAGAATTACTCAAGCTGCTTGGCGGATAAGTATAGTGAGAACTAAAGAGCTGTGCTGTGTGGTTCTGGACAATGGCCAATTAATCTAATCTTTGAGTGAGTTTTGGCCTTGAAGGTAGCTGCCGCATTTTTGTAATCATAAGACGTTATTTTGACTTTGAATAAAATGAACTAGCCCATTTGGAGGTACATAAAATATAGCTTGGTTGTAAACTGAAAATCAAGTATAACATATTGAACACTCAACTTTGACTGAAAGTATTTACAACTAAAACACGAAATGGTGGAAATTCTCTACATGCCTGGCCATATCTGTTCAAAATCACTTTCAAAGAGGAGCCATATTTGACTCATTTTGCTCCACACATGCTTTCAAAAACTTTAAATTCATCTGAGAGACATGGGCATTGCTAACTGGGCCAGCACTTATTGCCTGTCCCTAGTTGTGAAGGTTAGCTGCCTTCTTGAACTACTGCAGTCCACATGCTGTAAAGGAGGAAGTTCTGGGATTTTAACCCAACACTGAAAAGGAGTAGCAGTTTATTTCCAACTCAAGATGGTGAGTGGCTTGGAGGGGAACTTGCAGGTGTTCTCTTTTATCTGTAAACTTTGTCCTTCTAGACAGAAGTAGCTGCAGGTTTGGAAGGTGCTGTGTAAAATATCTTGGGCGAATTGCTGCAGTACATCTTACAAATAGAACAAACTGCTGCTACTGATCAATGGTGGAGGGAGTGGATGTTTGTGAATGTAGTGTCAATCAAGTCGGCTGCTTTATCCTGAATGCTTTATCCTTGAGTGTTATTGGAGATGGACCCATCAAGGTAGATAGGGAGTATTCCATCCTGACTTGTGCCTTGTAAAATGGTGGACAGGCTTTGGGGGAAGTTGGGAGATTACCGCCACAGTATTCCAAGTTTCTGACCTCCTCTTGAAACCACTGTGTTTATATGGAGAGTCCAGATGAATTTCTAGTGAATGGTAACACGGAGGATGTTGCTGGTGGGGGATTCAGTGATGGTAACACCAATATCAAGGGATAGTGGTTAGATTGTCTCTTATTGGAGATAGTCATTGTCTGGCAGTTGTGTGGTGCCATTGTTACTTGCTACTTTTGTTAACCTAGGCCTGGATATTCTCCAGATCTTGTTGCATTTGAACTTGGACTACTTCAGCATCGAGGAGTCATGAATGGTGCTAAATACTGTGCAATCAATCATCGGCAAACATCCCCATTTCTGACCTTTTGATGGAGGAGAGATCATTGATGAAGCAGCTGAAGACGTTTGGGCTTAGGACACTCCCTCAAGGATCTCTTGCAGCGATGTCCTGAAGTTGAGATGACAGAGTTCCAACAACCACAACAATCTGGTGTGCCAGGTATGACTTGTGGAGAACTTTTCCTGATACCCATTGATTCCAGTTCTGCTAGGGCTCCTTATTGCTACACTTGGTTGAACGCTGCCTTGATGTCAAGGCATGTCATTCGCACCTCACCTCAGGATTTCAGTACTTTTATCCATGTTTGAAGCAAAGGCCATTGAGTTCAGGAGCTGAGTGGCCCTAGCAGAATCCAAACTCCAGATCAGAGGTTATTCCTGACCAAGTGCTGCTTGATAGCATTGTTGATGAAACCTTCCATCACATTACTGATATTAGAGAGTAGACTGACCGGGCAGAAATTGACCAGGTTGGATTTATCCTGCTTTGTGTGTACATAGCATACTTGGGTAGATGCCAGTGTTGCAACTGTACTAGATGAGCTTGGCCAGGGAACAGCAAATTCTGGAGCAGAAGTCTTCAGTTGTATTGCTGGAATGTCGTCAGGATCCATAGCCTTTGCACTATCCAATACCTCCAACAGTTTCTTGATATCATGAGGAGTGAACAGAATTGCTGAAGACTGGTATCTGTGATTCTGAGCACAACTGCAGGAGGCTGAGATGGATCATCCACTTGGCACTTTTGGCTGAAGACTGCAAATTCTTCAAGCTTATCAGAGAATCAAACAGCACGGAAAGATCTTTTAGTCCACGCCAAACATAATCCCCAACTAAACTAGTCCAACGTGCCTGCTTCTGGTCCATATCACTCCAAAAACTTTTCTTATTCATGTACTTATCTAAATGTCTTTTAGGTGCTGTAATTGTACCCACATCCACCACTTCCTCAGGAAGTTCATTCCACACGCGAACCACCCGTTGTGTAAAAGATTGGCCCCTCAGGCCTATTTTAGAAATCTCTCCCCTCTCACATTTTTGCTTCCTCATCTTGAAAACCCCATCCCAAGGAAAAGATGACAATTAACCTTATCTACATCCCTCATTATTTTATAAACTTCCGTAAGGTCACCTCTCAACCTCCTACACTCCAGCGAGAAAAGTCCAAGTCTATCCAGCCTTTCTTTATAACTCAAACCTTCCATATCCAGCATCATCTTGGTATGTCTCTTCTGAACCCTCTCCAGCTTAATAATATCCTATAACCGGGTGACCAGAACTGGACAGTATTCCAGCAGAGGCCTCAACAATGTCCTGTACAACCTCAACATGACTTCCCAACTCGTTTGCACTAAGATGCTGGGCTCTTCAATTATTGTGGATGAGGATATTTGCAGACCCTCTTCCTTTAGCAAGTTGTTTAATTGGCACCACCATTCACAACTGGATGTGACAGGACTGCAGAGCTTAGATTTGATCCACTAGTTGTGGGATCACTTAGCTCCGCCATTTACTTGCTGCTTATGTTGTTTGGCATGCAAGTAGTCCCGTTTGGTAGTTTCACCTCGTTTTCAAATACACCTAGTGCTGTTCCTGGCATGCCCTCCTGCACTCTCCGCTGAACCAGTCTTGATCCCCTGACACAACAGTAAGGATTGAGTGCATGATAGGCCAGGCCATGAGGTTGCAGACTGTGCTGGAGTACAATTCCACCGCTGCTGATGGCCCACAGCACCTCATGGATGCCCAGTTTTGAGTAGCCAGATCTGTTCAAAGTCT